TATAATAAATATATGCAATAGTCTTAAAAAAAAAGTCCAAATCATTTTTTGATTGTATTATATATTTTATTTATTGTTTATATTTATTTGAGACTTATAATATTAATTATATCTATTTATTTAATAATATGTAAAAATCATATACAAGTAATATATATATGTGCAGTCATCTTTAAAAATAAAGATAAAAAAAAAGGTTTGAATTCCCAAAAAAAATGCAGCAGGCTTCTTGGAGAAGCTTTGAGAAAGTTAACGGAAAGATAACAGAGAAAGGGACAGACGGTAACAGCCCAACGAATGGAAGTTAAAAAAATGGCTATTTTCTTTCATTATTATAGGTTATAGGTTATGGACTAAAACCGTTATATTATAAGGTGAGGGACTAAAACCGTCTAACTTATCAAGGTAAGGGGCTATTTTAGGCTTTTGCGAACGGTTGGAAGTATATATAGATGGCAAAAATATGGCATAAGGACCCGAACTTCCACCAAATTCACAATTTCGGACTCAAACTTCGATTGTGCTCAATGAAGGTCCCGAACCCCATGAAAATTCTCAAATAAGGTTACAATTGTACGGAAAACTAACTTCCGTCAAATCTCCTATTATTCCGTTAATGTCTGTCACACTTCCCACCCGCCACTTGAAAAAAATTGATTAAATTCTAATTTTGGTCCCTCAACTTCATTAAGTTGCACCTTTTTGTCTCTCAACTTCATTAAATTTCACTTTTTGTCCCTTAACTTCATTAAATTGCACTTTTTTATCCTTCAACTTTATAAGTTATATTTTTTTGGTCTTTAAACTATTTTTTACACTTTTTTGGTCCTCAAACTATTTTTTGCATTTTTTTTATCCTTTAACTTTAACAACTGCACAATTTTGATACTTTTGTCAATTTAAACCGTTAACTTCATTCATGTTGCATTTTTTATATTTTTTTGATGACATGTATAATCTAACCGGAAAAAAATAATAACATAGATCATCTAACTAGAAAAAATGATAACATGGATAAATAAAATTATATGTAGATAAATTTTTGTATTTTTAATAAAAATAAAAAAACCTCTCCACCTATTTTCTTCCCCTGCTAGAAGAAAGAGAAAGAAATAGGGGGAAGAAAATAGGTAGAGGTTTTTATATTTTTTTTTATAAAAAATATAAAGATTTATCTACATGTTATTTTATTTATCCATGTTATCATTTTTTTCTAGTTAGATTATATATGTCATTAAAAAAATATAAAAAAATACTAAGTGGACGGAGTTAGTGGACGGAGTTAATGGCTTAAACTGATGAAAGTATCAAAATTGTGTAGTTATTAAAGTTAAGGGATTAAAAAAATGTAAAAAATAATTTAAGGACCAAAAAAAGTACAAAAAATAGTTTATAAACCAAAAAAGTATAATTTCATAAAATTGAGAGATAAAAAAGTGAAATTTAATGAAGTTGAGGGACAAAAAAGTGATACTCAATAAAATTGAGAGACCAAAATTAGCATTTAACCAATTTTTTTCAAGTGGCGGGTGTGAAATGTGACGGACATTAACAAAATTAATAGGAGATTTGACGGAAGTTAGGTTTCCGTCCAATTAGGACCTTATTTGAGAATTTCGTGGAGTTTGGGACTTTCATTGAGCACAATCGAAGTTTGGGTCCGAAATTGCAAATTTGGTGCAAGTTCGGGTCCTTATGTCATATTTTTGCCTATATAGATTCATGCACATTGACAAGCCATATTAAATAAATATTACTCACCTTGTTGAAATTTCATGTTCCAGAGGTTTAACAATCCATTTTTCCCATTCTGAAACCCTCCATATGTTTCATTACTTATTCTCTATCACATTTTTGTCTTTTCGAAACTGTAATCTCTGAAAATTTTGGTAGGTTAAGTGTTTTCAATTCATTATAAAGATGTATAAA